TCTGCATTTGTTCGTGTGATAACTTGACTGTCTGTCTCTTCACTCTTCCTCTCCCTCTGACCCTAGACTAAAGTGCCACAAAGCTGAAGGGCGGTCAAGGTGAACGTGCCACAGTGCCTGGCACACAGGAGGTACTCCATAAACAGTGCTCTTGTGAGCGTGGCCTCAAATTCTCAGATTAGTGGTTCTTAACCAAGTGAGTGGCTCAATGCTCCTCTCAGAAATTCTGACCGGGTAGATAGGTCGGGACAGAACATAGGCACCTGCACTTTGTAACTCTGCACGTGATTCTAACAGTCACATCCAGTAAGGGGTGGAGACGGAGCAAATAAAATGCTGGGCCTCCATTTAAATTTGAATCTTGGCTACACAGTGAGTTTGTTTCTGTTTTAGTGTGAGTATGTCCTATGAAATATTTATATTTTATCTAGTTAAGAATTCTTCCTCCCGTTAAGAATTGCTGTGTTAGAGCAGCAATTCAGAAAAGAAAGCATGCTCTGTTCACTCAAGTGTAAGGAGCAGACAGCTACAGGGTGTGGGAGCAAAGGGCCTGATGTTTGCACCGTGGGCACGCAAAGGTACGGCCTTAAAAGCAAACTGTCCTTATGATGAGACAAAAGTGACTCGGTAGATCTTTTAGACACTGACCTTCAATCTCAGTGGGAACTAGAAGTTCACTAAAATGCTAGGACAAATCAGGGAACTTTTTAGAATGAACTTTCCTAACTTTGTTTAAAGTTTTATGGGTCTATAACTAAGGTATTGGCTATTTAAGACTGACACAGCAATTAAAAACATCAAATAGAAAAGGAAAACTGAGAAGGTCAGAATCGCCCTCTCGGGGCTGACATGTTTGTTGCTGATAATTATGATGCTACAAGGACAGGGAAGTCTGTCTTACCAAGTGGCAGATGTCAGTGTCCAACTATGAACAATGATGCCATTTATTTATTATTTATTTAGTCTTTTTGAGACAGGGTCTTGCTATGCAGTTCAGGCTGGCCTTGAACTCACTTTGTAGCCCAGGCTGGTCTTGAACTCACAACAGTCCTCCTGCCTCAGCCTCCCGAGTGCTGGGATTATAGGCATGTGCCACCACATCTGGTGATGCCATTTAAATACCACATTTGTCCCTGACTTTTTTCCATACAACATCCAGAGGGGTCATTTGAAAACCCTAATCTGAACCTGCCACCCTTCCCTGTTCCAGCCACCCTGGGCTTCTAGCCGTCCCTCACACACACAGGAAGTCTGCAGCTCTGGGCCTTTGCACAGGCTGCCCGGAAACCTGACAGCACTTCCTCAGATACTTGCCCCTGGCTCCTCCCTCAGTGCACTTCTCTGCTTTCCTCACTGCCCGCCTCAACCCTGTGCATTCTGTAGCTTTACTCCTCTCCACAAGCAGTGTACCTACCTGATATTATACCAGTTATTTGTGTATGTGTGTCTTATGTCTTTCCTACCAGAATGGAAGTTCCATGCAGGCAGGGATTTTGCTGTCACTCACCATGTATCCTTAGCAAAGGAGGGATACTGGGTGTGAAGTAAATGGCCAGCAGATATTTGATAAATGAACAGATGAATGGATGACATTGCTTCCCAGCTTAGAAGCATTCAACAGTTTCCCCTTGCATTTGGAACAAGACCCAACTTCTTCATGGAAGACTTGGGCCCTGCCCACCCGCCGGCCACACGCTGTGCCCCAGAACACAGCCGTGCTCTGCTCCCTTGCTCTTCGCCCTTTTCCGTTTAGTCCCCACACAATGCAGTCTCAGGGCTGCAGATCTGCTGCCCGCTGGGCTTGAGGTCCTCTTAGCCCTTCTCTTTGAACTGTGGGCTCCTCCTTATTCAGATCTCACATCACCTCCTCAGAGAGGCTGTCCCTGACCACAGCACCCCCAGTTCTCTCTCTCTATGGCAGTCACACTTTGTGAAATCACACTATTTACTTACGCATTTACTTTTCATTGTTCATCTTTTCTGATTAGCGGATAAGCACCAGGAGAGCAAGGACCTTTTGTATCAGATACACTGCGAGTCCTTGGTGCCTAGCATGTGTCTGACATAGAGAAGTAGCTCAATAAGCATTTTTTAAATAAAAGAATGGATTTTCAAAATCAGTGAGAGAATCATAGATCTCATTCATGGAAGGATACAGCAAGAGGAGTCTTTAAAGAGTCTGAATTCATTTGCTTTTTATTGCTCCTTTCTTTTTATAGGAAGCTGAGGGTTTAATAATGCCCTCCTGATGATTATTTTTTTTGAGGATCACACTTCAAATATTCTATAGTGCTAAAATATTTGTGTCAGAAACAACCGATGGGTCAGTGGCCTGGTGCAGTAGAAGATTACATTTTCTTAAAATGATTCACATTTTTTGACTGATGTTTGTCAAAAAGAAACTTCCAGCCACTTCTTCTACATCTCAGGGTATATTGTTTAACAAGATGCAAATATTTAGTATGCTGGAAAATGTTACAAAATGGAATAATCTATCAGAATTGAGGGAAATAAATTAGACTACTTGTTAAAATTTTAGGTCAAAAGTTAAAACCATTCCAGATTAGAATTTCTTTTCACATATGTTCTATAGCTGACAACTTCCTCACTTACCAAAACAGTAATAAACTAAACTCATTTTCCTTCAAGTGCTCTCCTTTGCTCCATTTGTATGTAGAGTTACACATAGCCCTTGGTGTTGGTTTTATCTGCTGGCACTGGAAATAGTGAAGTGATGTAAAGCTGTTGTGTCCTCTGGTGTCTATGGGCAGAAAAGTCCATGGTGCCAGGGCTCACAAGAAGATAGGAAGGGTAGGGTAACCTCTTGGGATAAAAAGAATAAGGAGAAAGGCTTCACATTTCATTCTGATCTATTGTCATAAGACTCAGGTGTTTCAGTGTGGGGTGTGTGGAGGAAGGAGCTGAAAATGAGACAGAACTGTGTCATAGGTCAGGAGACTCTCTTTCTTGAACAAATTTTGATTAGAATGCTTATTTGATGTAATTGCAGAAAAAAAATCATTGTCATCACCTTATTTTGTCAAGTGGGCAACCTCAAACCATAAAACTCCCAGATCTGCCTGTAATGCCAGCTTCTCGGGAGGCTGAGGCAGGAGGACTGCAAGTTCAAGTCCTGCCTGACAGCTTAGCCAGACCCTGTTCTCAAAATAGAAAAATGAAAAAGGATTTGGGTGTGGCTCAGTGGTAGACAGCCCTGGGTTCAATCCCTCGTACAAGAAAGAAAGAAAGAAAGAAAGAAAGAAAGAAAGAAAGAAAGAAAGAAAGAAAGAAAGAAAGAGAGAAAGGAAACCCTCCATGATTACGTGAGTCAGATTTGCTTTCTTTTGAAGTTGCTCCAGAACCCCAGTGAGCCTTGGCTATTTAAAAACAAAAAAAAAAGAAAAGAAAATCCCCTAATAACTTAGGACCCTGTGCCAACTCTCTGTCATGAACTGTGACAGAAAGCTGCAACTTTCCTGGGAGGCCAGGAGGCCTTGTCAATGGCCTCTCTGAACCAGGCCACTCTGGTGTCCTGAGGACTGGCTGACACCTGGGCTGACCCATGGACCCTGCTGGAACTCTGAGAAACACAGCCGACTACACAGCATGCGTCCTCAGAGCAGCAGGCATCTTCCTGCCTTGCAGTAACAGCAGAGCCTCACTCTGCACTGCCAGAAAGAGTACAAGGGTCCTACTGTAGGCTGGAGAAGTGACATCTAATCTACCTGAAGCCTCAGCTTCCCTATGTGTCATCACGACTGCCATCTCCTTAACCTCTTACGTGAATGCACCAGTGGTCCTTGCACCTCCTCGGGTTGAAGGCCACCCCCCTGCAGTCTCCAGTGTTCCTCAGCACTCTCTTTCCACCTCTCAAAACACATAGTACTGGAGTGGTACTGTTTCCTTGGCAGTCTGTCCCACTAGAGGGAGAGCGCAGGTGCCCTACAGGTACCTGCACAAGGAGGTACTGAGTGAATAAATGAATCAGAAAGTTGGGACTTGCTGCAGTGGATGCCAGGGGGAGCTTTAGAGCCAAACAAGTAGTCTGAGGCAGGGCCAGGGAGGGGAGGAACGAATGCTGGATCTCTGGGGAAAGAGCGGGGACTTTCAGTCAGCCTGCTCAGCTCTAACACCTGGACTCACACTATAGTGCAGGGCTCAGAGAAATCCCCGCTCCTCTTGAGACTGGATGTGCTTCCAGCTGCAGTGAAACATGCTGACTGGGGCTTTTCCAGGTGTGGCTCTAATGCCAGGGTGGGGAAGATGCTCATGGTCCTCCAGCAGCTCAAGACGAGATGCATCGGTCCCAGGTGTATGGGCTGGGATGGCACAGGTTGGCACAGGGTGGGCTGATGCCCTTCCCCAGGTGGAGGAGGCCCCTGTGTCTGAGTGTGGCTTACCATCCTGCCTTCAGTCACAGTAGAATGTTCAAATGGAAAAAGATCACAGGCTCACGAATTTGATTTTTTTTGCTCTAGCCACATATATTTTTTCATTTCAAAGCTGAAATGGTAGGCACAACTTCAATGAACTACTGAAATGAGAGTGACGGTGCTGCGCCTGCTGAGCAGGGAGGGAACAGTGCCATGGTAGAGGTCTCTTGTCACTCGCCCCCTCCTCCTCACTGACAAGACTTAGAAGCTGGCCAGTGTCCAAGGTAGCCCTGCCAAGAGCATTGCCCATGACAATGCCAGGATGCCAGGATACCCTGCTGGGAAGAAAGCTAACCTAGAAGCAGGCAGCACCGCGGTGTTAATGTCTGCCTCCCCCCTCAAATGGAGAAAGAAATATTTTGCAAGGACAACCTGATAGACTTTCCGAGAAATCCTGGATCTCAACCTTTCTGCAAGGGTCACAGACCTGAAAAAGTGACATGCTAATGAAGTGGAAGGGCCCATGAAGTGCAGCACTTTGAATGCAAGTCTCCACTCCTTGTAAGTGCTTTGAGTTCAGGTCTCCACTGGGGGCCTTCCTGGGGCAGGGAATCCCAGCACCTTTACCTGTTCCAGAAGATGGAGGAGTGACAGATCCTGGGCTGTCATCTTCGGGCTCTGAAACAGTGACGGTGGGGACTGTGTCAGGGCTTGGCTTCAGACAGACGTCTTGCTTCTCTGGGGTCTTGTCTTGGACAGCAGTCATGACAGCAGGTTCAATTTCGGTCAGTGTGATTTTGATGGGGGCCGTGACCAGAGGAGCACTGTGCTGGGCCTCAGAGAGATCATCTATGTAAGAAGCAAAGGTGGATTCTTCAAACAAGTGGTCCTTGATGATTTTCCCCTCCACAGGAGCTGGTTTGTCAGGTTCTCGGATGCCTCCTGCTTTTGTTGAGATTTCAGTGTCCTTGCTCTTAAAGTCCAAGTCTTTATCCTCCAACTCAGGGCGATGTTGCTCCTGACATTTCACCTCCTCTGGCCTCGTTATATCCATGTACTTACAGGCTTCTGCTTTCATATGGCCCAGAGGGTCAGCTAGGACCTTGTTCACTTCGGTGGACTCTGCAGGAGTCATCTCTATTCCAGAATCAGAACTAAATAAGCCACGAGGCTCCATCACAGGCACATCTGGTAAGGAGGGTCCTGGGGTCCCCAGCTCCTCCGAGCTCTCAGAAGTAGTGATGTGACCGTTTTCCTTCTGAAGAATCCCAGTGAAGTAGGTAGACTCCTCTCGAGGTGGGTAACAGATGTCGGAAATCAGAGATGTATAACACGCTCCTTCCCCATCTTCTGGTGTTGTCGAGAGGGAGTGATCCAAGCCACTGGGGAGAACTGTCACACCTGTCAATCAAACAGCAGCAGACTGTGAGTGTGGACCCAGCTTTGGGTCTTTCTCCTGCCTAACCCACCAGCCAGCCATGCCTACTAGGGACATAGCACTCCCCTCCCAAGACCTCAAAGTGCCCTCGGAGCACGGTGTGCTAATCTTCCTTGATTTCCTAAGATTCTACAGCTCTGGTCTCTTCCAAACAGCAGGCCCCAGTGGCACACATAATCTACCAGACATGGTGGGGACAGAGCCCAGAGGACCAGAAAGCTGATCTTCAGCATCTATTACCTCCATATACAGTGGTTTAATTTGACTCCACATTATTAAAAAGAAACTCTCTTTGCATTTAAGTCTTAATGGCTTTTAGGCAGAGATAGAAATGTAGGTTAACAAGGTTGGTAAATCTAGCAATAGGGCAGTGGACCGGGAAGGGCTGCTCCTGGAGAATTACAGAGCTGAGAGAGGCCTCAAGAGATGCTTTAGTTCACTCACAGACTCCTGCTCCTTATTTGAGCCCACCCATCTTTATTAAGGTCTTCAGGAAAAGGGACTCCTAATTTGAGGCCACTTCCAAAAGTGGCTTGTAGGACTCAGTGGCCTCTCTGTGGGCCCCGGGAGAAAATCACAAGAGGATTTAGAAAATAAAGACAAAGGGCTGGGGATTTAGCTCAGCGGCACAGTGCCTGCCTGGCAAGTGCAAGGTCGTGAGTTCGATTCCCGGTACAGGAAAAAAAAAAAAAAAAAAGTAGAAAATAAAGACAAGAGACAATAGCCACGGTCAGGTGGAGTTAGCTCTTACCTGATAGGCAAGAGGACTGACTTTAGCAGTAGGGGGGGTTATTTATACTCTTGCAAAGTTAGTATCAGGAGAGGTAATGTTGCCTAGCGACTAATGACTACCTTGCTCAGGCAGCATGCTTTTTTCAGGACTGAGGTAGCTTGACTGCTTGAGGCACTCTGGCTCTGCCCTGCCCCTACACCTATGCCGATTCCAGCTCCCGTAACTCCCAACAGTGGCTTCGCCTTCACGGTGTGTCTTCCCATTGGTTCATTTTCCCCCGTTATTTTGTTTCTCTACTCATTCATTTCCCTGCTAATTCTTTCGTTTCTAGTGATATTCCAAATTCCCCACTAGGAGTTGTCTCTTCTACTGGTGGTGCCATGCACAAAACAAGTTTCCAAGTTTGAGTCTACAAAATGTTTCACCTGGCCTTTGCTGCAGCCAAAAAAAGTAGTGATATGTGCAGAAAGAGAAAGCCTGCCATGTTTTTCTTTGCTATAGAGTGCTGTCAGAGGGGAAGAAAACCAGCACTGACTGAGGATTTACTCCGTGCCAAGGAGAGGGATATTACATAAAGCCCCATGCTCTCAACACCTGCACAGAAACACATCACGCAAATGCATAAACACACACACCATGCACAATATAAAAACCCTTAAGACACACCTGAAGACATACAAGACTAAAGCACCAATTCCTATAGAGTAATCAAATTACCGGTAGTAACAATAATATCAATAGCGAACGTTTGAGTGCATGGAGTGTCAGACACAGCTCCAAGTTTATCATTTACAATGACTCTTTTATTTACTGAAACAACCCTAAAAGGTCGGTACTGTTGTTAGGCTCATTTTATAAATGAGAAAACTGGGAAACCGGTTAAATCACTCACCTAAGCTCTCGTAGGCAATAAGTAGGGGAGCCAAGCCATTAGTACATTCTAAAAATATAAGTAAATGTCTCAAGGAACTTCTATTAAATTTTTCAGAATTATATTTTCGGGGTTTTTATTTTTCTGGAGTTTAATCTTTTAGGATGTTGACATTTGAGATTATGGCACTTGGAAATGTCTTTCAGGGTTATAGTCAAACCTATTTAAATTACATTTCTTATCCTTTTATGTTTCAACACATTTTAGGTAGAACCATATCGGAATCATGAGAAACAAGAGTCCAAATGTGTTGACTGTAATCATGTTTTATTTTCTTAGATGGAGCTAAATACCCTGAAAAATTCTAATTTACTGAATTTTAAAATGCATATGCTTTATTTGGTGCCTGTAAGATAGAGCTCTAGTAAACAGAAAGTCCTTCTGGACTGCACATTATGTGAAAGCAGCATCCTGTGGGGATTGCTAGCACTGAGAATTAGAGCTGAGCTTTAAGACTCCAGGAAGCCAATTAATTCTTGTCATCACTTCCCGCGGTGCTGGCAGATGTGGGAACTAAGGCAGAGGGCACAAGCCAGCTGGCCCAGGTAGGAAGCAGTATTGTAATATTGTTAAATACAAATCCACTAGATAAATGTGCTTTACTTATATCTAGACTAGAAATATATACATATATCCCCAAGGCTCCTTTGGAACACTTGATTTCCACATTCTCTCTGGCTGCCTCTTGGGTCCTCTAGGAGTTCATGTACATCAAGAATCAGTGTGTGGACCTGAGATGCCCTTGTGGCCAGACACAAAGGGCAGTCACTCACCTGCGTGCATTTAAAGTGGTACTGATGTTCAAATGTTTAATTTTCAGGAAAGTACTCAAAATAAAAATTGAAGCATCCACAGGTGACTATTTGTAGTCAAAAGAAGGAAGATGAAAATAAACTGAAACTACTACTGTCATATGTGCTAATAAACCCAGGCTTCTGTATTCATAGGTCAGACATACAGCTCATGAGTATATTCAGTTATCTCATAAAAGGCAGGAGTTTGCTTTTATTTTATTCTACTCTGCTGTATTCTGTTTTTAATTCTCTGGCAGTGCTGAGGAGTGGGATGACAGAGACAACTTACTGAAGACGGTTTTACTTTTCCCAAGGAAAGCTTCAATCCTAAAATTCCAGTTCTTATGCTGACTCATCCTCACTGAATGAAATCAATTCAAATCGGTGACCTACACCTTAGGCAGCTTGTATTCCAGCTCTGCCAGCATCAGTTGTGAGATTCAGGGTGCTAACTTTTTACAGCCTCAATATATCCCACCCTGAAAAGGGAGGAATTATAGTTTCCATTTTAAGGTTGAGTATGAGGACTGAGATAATACAGTTAGAGCTCTGCCTGACACACAGCACACACTCAATAAAGAAGAGCTGCTGACTTTATTACTGTCTTTACCTTGCAGAGCAGACATCAGTTATTTACAGCATGCTCTCACATGGCCCTTCATTTATTTCTTTATTCTAATGATGTGTTATCAGTGTAGCTTGCCCCAGAAAGAGGTTTAATATTGCTGATCCATAACCATGTTGCTGTTTGGGGTAGCCTTAGATGCTGAAGTCCCCACAGTGCAGGGTACGGCTCCCTGCATGGCTATATGACAGGTAGTTGCATGTGAAATACTTTCCAGTGATGCAAGTGGGTTAGATTCTGTCATGAATGCAAATATGACTGCAGGGAGCTAGAAAAGCTGAAATTTATCAAGACAGTTGTGTCTGTTAACCTTGAATGTCAGCTTGACTGGAGTAAGGAACTCCTGGAGGGATGACTAGATTGTGAGGGTACTAAACTCATAAATAGGTTTTGTTAGTCCATTGATGAATTCACAGCTAAATGGACTGTTATGAGGTGGGCAGAAGTGTATCATGGACCCATGACCTTGGGGCTCTAGCCTCTTGTTCTAGGGCTCTACCCCTGTTCTCTCTGCTCCTTGGATGTTTTGAGTTGAGCAACTTTTCTGTTATGCCCTTGTACCATTATGTTTCTGCCTTGGACTAGATAACCATGGACTGAAACCTCCGACACTGTGAACCAAAAAATAAACCTGTCCTCCTTTAGGCTGTAGGTGTCAGGTATTTATTCCCAGCAACAGCAAAGTGACTAACACAACAATCAACAGAAAAGGAATGAGAGCAGTGCATGCCCACAGAGGAACTCTGCTTTGTGGATAGGGCCCAGTCTTACTCATCGGGATTTATGATAACCCTTCTATAACTCAATAAAGCCCTCTCACTGCTCTGAAATGGAAATATAGAGAATGCCTAAAAAGCAAGACTGATTATACAAGAGTTTCCTGGACACAGAGATGGAAGTGCTCTAGTAGAGAAACATTTGGCCTTTCCTATTCCCTGAAATTGCAAAACTAAAAAACAACAAAAAATTATTATTTGCATAGAGTTAATACGAAGGGAACACTATTCTTGTCAAACTGAGAAGTACTTTTGAAAGCAGAATAAAGTACAGCTGTAATAACGGTGGTCAAGAGGTACATATTAAAACTCAAGAACTAAAGACCATAATCAATAAACAAAAGTGAACCTGTAGTCACCTTCTGAGACTCCTTTGCCCCTAAGCTGCCCAAGTGACAGATGGCGCTTTCCCTGAAGGCTCCTGCTCATCCTTCCTGAGCACTGCACAACTGCAGGCTGGAGAACAGAGGCCACGCCACATCGGACAACAGAGCCCTCGGTGAGGGATGGATGTGCCAGGGAGGTACCAGGGCCCCTATGTCATCTAATGCATTCTCCTTCTGGAACTGAGTGTCCCTGGTTTCCCATGATAAATGGGTGCTGAAGAATCCAGTACACTCATTCTTCACCAGTTTTTTCTACATGATGAATGAATAGAGTACAAATTTTAAAAACAAGGCTGCATTCTCTAGCAGAAGACTCCAAGCCAAACCACACAACATGCTGGGGTTTATGAATACATTCCCCAACTCACTGACTTATTTAAAGTTCCATTGCCAGAATAATAGATTTAGCTTTGGGGATTGAAAAATTCATGTTTAATGAAAAATGATTCAGCAAGTTTTATTTTTAACTCCTGTGGACAGACCAGGTTTGCATTGCTTGAGGAGTTTTCCTTTTAGCAGAGAATTCTGTGAGAGGTAAAACATGGTCTAGCAGGTAGACCCAGCCCAGGTCTTCTTTGAGAGTTCTTCCAGGGACCAAGAAAGCAGAACACCATAGAGCCCTGAGACTGGAGGACAGCTGGTGTTTGAGGAGTCTCTGATTTTAGGGTTTCTGTTGGTTATTTTTCTTCTCTGTTGCTTTTTTTAAAATGTTTTTTAT